ATTTCTCAATAACTGAGAGAACTTGGAAGAGAATCAGCAAGGATACAGCACTGAAAAACTTCACTAGCCAGCAGGATCTAATCAGAAAGCACACAGAATCTGGAAAGAGTCCCACAAAAGCACAGCAAACAGATTTTGGACAAATGTGCAAAAACAATTCAATGGAGAAGCAGTGGTGTTTGCAATAATTGGTACTAGATAAGTAGGAATGTATGAGTTTGAAAAAACAAAAAAACTAAAGCTGACACCTCATACAAAAATTAAACCAAAATAGGTCATAGGTTTAAATGTCAGATGTAAAACTATGAATCTTTTAGAAGGTAATAAAAGAAAATCTTTGAGACCTAGGGCTTGGTGAAGAGTTCATGCATATGGCAACAAAAGGACACCCCACAGAAGAAAATAAGATACACTAGACTTATAGATTCCCTAAAAATTTTCAAGGTTTTAATGACATTTGATTTCTAAAATTAATTGCTTCTCTCTTTTCAACTGTTGTCTACACCAAGTGCTCTATATACAGGAAGATTATTTTTGTTTATTATTTTTTGTAATTAATAACATTAAATAATGCTATAAATTTTGTGCTTGCCATTTTAAATTGTTAATAGGTGTCACAGGATGAATAACAGCGAAATCATGATTTACTTTTAAAAGCTTCGTTTAACACATTCATGGCAACTTCATTATTATCCTTAAGAACAAGAACTTTTGCAGGAGCTACTAACAGGAAAACAAAATGTGACTAATATTCTACTTTCTCCATTTAAAAGAAGTATTAATAAATATAAATATGCCCAAATTTGATATTAACAGATTCTAGAACACATTCTTTGGAAAGTCCGTGTCTTAATAATTGGGCCAATGATTATTCCAGGAATATAAATTAGGTCCTCTAATTTAATCTTATTTAGACCTGAAATTATAATACGGATGAGGTTTTCAGATAACTTTCCATTTTCTTACTTCAAATTATTTCTTTTGATAAATCTTCTTGAAAAGATGTATCTATTAAACTACTAGACTGTGCCACTCTTTAATTACTAGTAGGCAGCACTTGCAAACATGTCTCACATTCCATGTTCATAATTTAATAATAAAGTGAAAAGTGCCTATAGAAATACCTTAAAGTTTATTGGAATTCTCCGTAGTATTCTATTTTTTAAAGTGAGCAAGAAAATGTCTGAGAGAGAAAAGTCTTCTAAAAAGTATATCTGTTCCTTTCACTTTTCAGAGCTCTTTGAGGATTTTAGAATTGCAGATTAGGGTGCAGATTAGTGGCAAGAACAGATTTAAATGAACCTGGGGTGTTTTACTAGTCTGGGTGTAGCCCATGAGTGTTAATAGCTCAGGAGTGTTAATGTACTCAGGATGCTGTCCGGAAGGCTCTGGGGGTATGGGAGGATATGCTGCAGATACGTGAGACACATCTGGCTTCAGCAGTTTGGGTTGAGAGAGTACAGGCCTATGCAGTATAAGTGTTCATGAAGCGCTGAGAATTACCACAATTTTATGTGACAAAAAGGCTGTGAGCACAGGACTCACGATGAGAAATCTGGCAGGATGGTCTTATAAGTGCCATGCTGACTGTCATCTTATAAATGAGCAAAGTGAAACAGAGAGGCTGAAAAACTTGCCCACGGTTCCCCAGCTTCAACTGGAATGCAGCTGGTCTGACTCTTTCAGAGATCATGCTTGTAAACCTGAAAGACGGAAACAGTACAGCAAAAGACTGGGTCTCTAGAGTAGAAACACAAAGATCCTCAGGATACTATCAGTCAGGCTCATATTACCCACATATGAAATTGGAGAATTTCTGTGGAGAAAAATGAACAGCCCAAGGAAATGATACATAAGTCCTGACCTCTGGTGATCTCCTTCCTTGGATCTGCACAGTGAACATTCAAACAGCTATTTAGAGCCTGTTTTTAAAATAGAAGGATGTATTAGTCTGTTTCTGTCCCTATAATGAAACACGTATAGCTGCCTAAGTTACAAAGAAAAGAGGTTTGTTCAGCTCACAATTCTGAGTCTGTAAATCCAAACAGATTGGCATCACTTGGTCAAGGGGCCCCGTGGCTGTGTTATATAAGGGCACATGGTATCAAAAAGGAGCATAAGCGAGAGAGAGTAATCATGTGACAAGACAGGAAGCCAGAAGCAACTGGGTCCCAAAAGAACTATGTTAATCTTTTCCATGGGCATGTGCCCAGTGACCTCCTAACCTCTTTAAATCCCACACCACCACTTAACTTCTTCACCTAATCAGTCTTTAGAAGACACACATAAACCATATTCAAACCATAGCAAAGGAGACCCAAAGATCATCAGACATTCAAGGAAAACATCAAAAATGGAGGAGATCAAAATAATAATTGGGAATGTAGAGAAGAGGAAACACAGAATACAGAGAGTTTCAAAAAATGTATCTTCAGCACCTCAGCAATTAAGAAAAAAGACTGGGGCTGGGGATTTAGTTCAGTGTTTCTGCCACCTGCCTCACAAACACAAGGTCCCGAGTTCAATCTGCAGTACCAAAAAAAAATAAAAAGGAAGAAAGAAAGAAAAGAGACTGCATCCATAAAAGGAAATGAAGACAATATTTTTAAAAAGAGGGGAGTACAATAGAGGATAAGGTAAAGTAGGCGAAATTTAAAACTGTGAGAGCTGAAATGTACAAGTTCAATAAAACTTTGGAAGATCAAGTCTGTGAAATTCCTCAGAAGTTAGTTCAAAGAATGAAGGGAAGAAATGAATTGGCAATTTTAGAATTTATAAATTTATTTCCGGTTAGGTTTCCAGAAAAAGGAGCATGGTCAATGGTTGGGAAATTACCAATTTAAAGTCTCTTCATGAAGGAATAAGGAATCCTAAATCTGATAATATATATTTTTTTTAATACCAAGCTACATTATGAAGTTTCAGAATACCAGGAATTAAAAAAAAATGCTAAGGAAAAATAATTCCAGAAAGAAAGAAAAGAAAAAACTTGATATCACACAAAGAAAAATAATTGTAATTATAATGCTATGGGATTTCTCTATAGCAGTGCTATAGTCTGTAAGATGAATAATGCCTTTCATTTAACAATTCCATATGTAGATGCTAATGTGTGAATGTGTCCCCAAAGGCCTATCTGTGAAAGTTGTAGTATCTAGGTGGGTACTATTGGAAAATGGCAGTGCAGTCCTGCCCCCTTCCTCTTCCTCTAACTTTGCTTCCTGGGAGCTTGACACTATGATTTACTGCCTTGCCATAACCCCAGAGCCAACAGAGCTGTCTTCATGGACTAAAACCTCTGAAACCATAAGCCAAAATAAGATTTCCTACTTATAAGTTGAATTACCTTAGGTGTTTGTTACAATGACAGAAAACCAATTAACACAATAGCCAAATTAGGCATCCAGTGAGTTGAGTTATTTATAGGGATGTAAAGACCAGAAAGCTACTTGTCTTTGAAGCCATCTTTAGGAAGCCAATCAGGACTCTGCTTCCACAAACAGGTCATTTCATCAAGAAATAGTAAGATGTGGATTCATAAACTTGAGCTGAGGACACTAATCCAGTCCTAGAGAAAAATAGTTCTAGAATCAGAGGAATGGACACAATTAGTAGGCCAACTCGAGGCAGAAGAGAAATAATTTTTTTAACTGTGCTTGAGTATGAAAAGTTACTGATAATTGTGTGAGAGATTTCTAGGAATTTTGTTCAGAAGAATTACATTAAGGATATGGAAAAATGAAAATTCCTATAGAAAAATAAATTGAAGTGAGAACTAACCATGACACTTTGTTCAGCCAAAGAGAAAGCAGTGTCAAGATAACCTTTTTAACCAAGGTTAAAGCTTGTCTGAGAGTCCTATATCCCCAAATACTAAAAAGTGACCCAATACAAAAGAATTTAAAATTTTAAAATAAAAGAATTAATAAAAATATGGAGAAATAAGTTCAAAAGTACTAGAAGATAGCTGCAAGGATTGGAAATGGTTGGGAATGCATTTTGGAAATACACAAATTAGAAAGTAGAAAATTTTCTTGTTTCTCTGTATTTACAAGATAGCCATTTAATAGCCATTCGAAGAGTATCCTACTGCAGTTCTTCTGTAAATACTTGCATTATCCTGCTCATACTTGCTTTTCCTTTTATAATATTCTTATTAAGTTTGCCCTGTATCATGAACCTTTCACCTCGATCACGGTGATGAATGTCCTCATTATATTACTTCTGCACACAAGTGCTCTGTTTCCTTAGGAATCATTGCTACAAATGATACTTTCTGGTCAAAATTTTCATTTTGATAAAGATTTCCTCATTACTTTTCAAAATAGTAGACAAATATATATGTCAACGTTTTTGTTGACATATATATTATTACATATATATTACCCACAAATAATGACAATAACTATCTCATGCCATTTTCTTTTTCTATGTAAGATTTTGTGTCATTAACAGGGGTAGAAGTTTGGCTTCCATAATTCCTGAATTTAATGAGGGTATTTATTATAACCTTCTTCTGGATAATAAAAAATGCATGATCCTTGGTGTGGTTTTTTATTTCATTTTGTTAAAAATGTATGAAGAGTTTTAATCAACAATAAAATGTTAAATTGTATTTCATATTTAGTCACTTATCAAACTGTTTTTTGAATATGACAGTCAATAGATAAACCCTTTACTATTTAGGTTTCTAGCAGAATGACCATTTAATTGCTGTCTTAGACAGCATATGTAGAAAATTGTACTTTGCACAAAAAAAAAAATGTACTTTTAAAACTGATTGGTAAATGGTGCTGGAAGAGAATTCCCTAAAGGTTTATAACTTTTTTTTACCTGTCAAAATACAGAATATTTGCTTGCCTAATTCAAGAAATTTTTTTAAAAGCGTGAGCCTCAAGAGCATTTGTGAAGAAGCGCTTGTAGTCATGGAGCTATATTTGAAAGACTGGAGAACCCTTACAGACCTTTTTTTAACAAATGCACTTCAATTTTCCTTTTAGGGGCACTGCGATCGCTGGCATTGTGTTCGGAATCGTGTTTATCATGGGGGTCATTGCCGGGGTCGCCATCTGCGTCTGCATGTGCTTGAAGAACAACCGAGGGACCCGGGTGGGCGTCATCCGAGCCACACACATCAATGCCATCTCCTCCTACCCTGGTAATCAGCACAGCCTCCTCCTGAAGGATGAGTCTGCTTTGTTAGTTATGCTCTGCTCCTTAGAGAGAGAAGAGACATTAAGACTCTCATTGAAATAACCTCCAATTTTCTGGAGCTTTCCTAAGTAAATGTAGATCAGAGCTCCAGCTTTGAATAGATATTGCTTACTTAAATCCAAATAAGAAAATCTATCTTGTATTTGACCATATTCATATTTTCACTGGTTGTTTGATTAACTACAATTGCCATTCTGCCGGAATTAAAGAGGAAATTCACACCCACTCCGTCTACCTGCCACTGAGTTCTGACAAGTAATTACAGAGAAAGTATGTTATATGTCTCAATAAACTAGCTTCTGATTCAATGGGAATATATGTCTTGAGAAAAAGTATTGAGGAAAGTTTTTATATGTCCTCATTATGCAAAGAGAACATCTTAAATTTCTCAACAGAGAGCAAAGGTAATATATTAATAATTTGACAAGCATTTGTTGAGAATCTGCTAGAAGTTCCACATAAATATATTGAGTACATCTAACCACATGAACAAAATGCTTCATTCTCTACTAGAGATTTCAGTAGTGTTTTCTAATTGTATAAGTATAATTTGACATATGAAAGGGCAAACACGTTCTAACTTTAACACATCCGTAGGACAATCCCTTCCCATGACACTCGTGTCCTTTCTCAATGCCTGTGAGAAAGGATCAGATGCCTTCTACATCCAAGTCTTCCCTGTGTGTCAATTCCCTAACCCTTCCTTCCTCTGTTTTTTCTCTAACTGCTTCCACAGAAGGGAGCACATCTCTGATGAATGTGGGAACAAAAACGTCGATTTCCCTTCAGTCAGCTCTTCCTCTCCTCTGGTATCTTCTGTTCAGTGCCTCAAGGCTCAGTCTTATGTCTTCTTCCCTACTCTGTCTACTCTTCTTTCACTCTATCATTTGGCTTCACAGTCATAAGTTTCATTTATATGTTAATACTTCCCGTGAATTTCACCAAGCATGTTTGAATTTTCACTTGGTTGCCTAACAAATATGCAAAATGTAACGGGATTAAAATTGCATTGATAATAACTCTCTTCCCAAAACCTTTGCCTTTTTCAGTTCTTGGCCTCTCTAGCTTTCCTGTTGCTCAGACCATAATTATTGGATTAATTCTCAATTAATTCCACTCGTTCTTCACAATCTACCAAGAAAAAATTTGAGCTCGACCTGCAAAGTGTATTCAACATCTGATGGCTTATCACATTGAGAAGTAAACAGTTATATTTCTGGTGTGAGCTACTCTGTCAGCTCTCTCTTCTTTTTTTTCTTGTCATTCTGACCCATCTCCCAGCATTTACTCCTGGGTCTTTTCTGAACAAAGTGGCCGAGTAAACCTGTTAAGATTGATGTCGAATCACTCCTATACTCACTTCCAGAGGCTCCCCATTTCCAGAGGAAGAACCAAAGCCAAAGGTTCCTTACTGCATCTAGTGACAAAGTTGCTCTTTTGAATGGGGACCGTCAAGACACTGCATGAAATGGCCCTTTTTCCCCAGATTGGACCTCATTTCTTTCTCTCTCCCTTACCACTCAGGCGTTATCAGACTTTGGTCCCTTGCTGTTCATGAACACACAGGCCACACTACCAGTTCAAGGCTTTGCCTGGAGCACTGGCTCCCTTGCTTCATTCAACCCTTTGATCAAGGGTCACGTCCTGAATGGAGATTGTGATGTGTCTCTCTCCAGGGCATCCCAGTCCTCCTTAGGATACTCTGCTTTCTTTCCAGGATACATTTTTTTCCATTGAGTTTATTTGTACTTTTTAGGTATACAGTACAGTTACATTCCTCATTGGGATCTTGTACATGATAGATGTTGGTTCTGATTTTTCTTCGCCCCCTCCACTCTTCCCTATTTACAAAGACTTTGTTTCCATTTTTTCTTTTTCTCATATTTTTCTTTTCCCTTCCTTATTTCCCCTTCCCTTACTCCTTTAGCCCTTTTCTTCCTATTTCACGTTATCAATTATACAACTTGAATCTTATTTACAGGATACAGTTAATCTTCCAAGTTACTATAGTGATGGCAAACCTAAGGCACCCATGTCACAGTGGGCTGTTCATATCATTGAAAGCTCTGTGACTATGTTTTTCTTTTAATGTAGGAGTTGATTTTCCTAAACTAAAACCTCAGTATTCGGGTTTAATTGCAGTACTGGCACTTTACAAAGAATAAGTGGGTTTGGGGTTGCAATTTTAGCATTTGGTCTCTGAAAGGTTCTCCATCACCACTATAGTTTCCCTAATCATAATGTTCATTGTTGACTGTTTATCTTCCCTCTTCTAGAATACTAACTTTGAGTCAAAATGCTTTGACTATTTCATTCACCTATCTACCCCCAGTGTGTAAGAGCAGGTATTGCACATAGTGGGCATTCAGCAAACATAGCTGAAAGAAAAACTCATGACAGCCTAGACTTACTCATATAGCAGTACCTGTGGGATTGGCTTTAAATTCCACCTTGAAATATGTAGATTTTACTCCCTACAAAAGCAATTTGCAGTTTTGAATATTCCAAAGTTGTCAATAATACTGTTGAAGTTGGTATAAAGATGTTGGGACTGAGATACAAGGAAAAGAGTAGATAGGACTTTTTGTTTATTCTTTACTCCTCCCCATTGTTTTCCCCTACAACAAACCTACAATTCAAGGGATAAACAAAGGAAAATTAGAGCTATTAATTGGAATAAAGTCTCCAGAAATAGAAGGACGTATTCCAGAGATAACATTTTCAATATACATTGGCTTGATCAAAAAAGATCAATCAAAATTTATTTTAATACATTTAAAAATATTTTGCAATATATCCTATTTTATTTTGCTTTTCAATAAGTCCGAGCACTGAATAAAATTAGGTAATAAAAACATTATTTTGGGCCGGGTATTTAGCTCAGTGGTTCCACCACCTGCCTCACAAGTACAAGGACTCAAGTTCAATCCCTGGTAACAAAAATAAAAAACAAAAACAGTACTTTAATATGAAATAATTTTTAAATTTTTAGTTTTGAGGTTTCTATTTTGTTCGAGAAACATATTTTCAAACTTTCTAATGGCGTCATTTTTCACTGACATCACAGTAATATGTTGCATTTTCAGTAAACACTTTGTTCTGGAAACTGAATAATGCAAGAAACATTTTGAACCTTATGCTGGAAGCATTTTTATTACAAAAAGACTGGGTCTTCGAAGCATAATATGCTCAAAGTCACTAATTCAGTTTTACTTGAAGAACCACAATACTGTTGACTGCTTTTCAAAATCTTTCATGTGTAGAAATACGAAAGACTTTCACCCACATTAATTAGTTTACTCTGTGATAATTGAGATAATGACCCAATTTATCAAATAATATAGTTCTCTAGCCTAGGAGCCAGATAAGTGGGAGAACATAATTTATCGGTCATTTTATTCCATGGTGAAAGTCCTCAGTGGAAGCCTATAGTGGGGTGTCATTATGCTGCACTTGGAAAGAGAGAATGTCATTCTGCTGTCACATCTGCCCCTTTGTTGGAAAAATGAACTTCTAAAATTAAGCCTTTCATCCCTGCCATGTTGGATACAATGAACAGGTGTCATCTTTCATTAGCATTATTTTTTATGTGGACCTTGTCAAGATGAGTATTATTTGTCAAAGCTGTACATTTCCACTACCTTCCAGAAGTTCAATGTAAACAATGAAAAGCGAACATGTTAACCCACTTTTAAAATGTAGCTTCGGCTGCTACTTACACATCTAAAAGGAAACAGTATAGTAAAAGCACAACAAAAGGATTGGCAAAGATAGAACATCAAATGCCAACAAAAGAAAAGCAAGAGCTTTCAGTGCCATCAAGAAAATTGAGATTTGAAGCGCAGTATTGAGTCTGCTGGGTGAATAAGACTGGGGGAGGGGGACGGAGGAAAAAGGCTCTTTTCCTAACTGAAGAATGACAACAGATAAATGTAGGAGAGAGTCGTACAACTAGAGGGAAATCACTATTTTAAAATCACTCTAAGAAGGTTTGCACCCAAATCATCAACAGATGCTAAAGCAAAGAGGGAAATTTTGCCGAAGAACAAGAATTTAAGGATATTAAAGTATATACCAGATTTCTTATCAATAATAAGTCAAAAAAATACTAACTACACAGTTGAGCAATCAAACATTTTGCCAGGTGATCCAAATTAATAGCGCCAAGGAGGGACAGATGGACATCATGAACTTTTAAGTGTATCACTCTGAGGCTCACATCTGTAGTTCTGTGCATGTGGTGCTCTAGGAGTTCACAGCTTGAATCTTTGCATGGGAAAAATATCTGACAAAACCAAATTGAAAAACAAGAATTGACACAGAGATTGGGGGAAAATGTCATTTATTTGGGAAACAAAGAACCACAGTTTGGGTACACTGAATCAGAGCAGCAGAGGAGGTTTCTTGGAGATTTCCACAGAAAGGTTGTTTTCAGAGATAGTTCATTGGCTAGCAGAAGTCCTAACTGATCACTGTTCTGATTAGGTTACTCCCTGCTGCAAGGTGTCAAAGTCTGTAAACTGGCTTCAGTTGCAGGTCCAAGTCTGTCCGGACATTCTGTGATTTAACAATCGGCAAGGATCAGTGCAGGCATCTCGGGATTTTGGACTCAGCTTTAGAAAGTCTTAGTTATCTCATTTTCCCTCACATTCAATAAAACAACTAACCTGTAGTCTTTAACATGTTTGGGAAATACTTCACTGGGAAATCCACCCTGCATTTCACCACTGAATTCACAACTGAGTGCAACCTTTTTAGTCTGTGCATTGAATCTGAGGAGATCTTTGAGCATGCAACCAAGCTTTTCAGAGACTACAGACTCATCCTAAAAGTTTTTCTATTTGTACTGAATCTGAAATAAGCCTTCATCTCATGTGTAACTTCTTTATGTACCACAAATTCACACCAGAGAGCTTCCCTGTAATAACATGGCTGTCAGCTTGA